GACCCATTCTATGAAGAATTTTATTTTTATTTTACCAGGCAATTGAACCACTTGGATTAAGGCCCTAAACATTAACAAGCTTTATGGTTTCAATGTCAGTTCTGTTTCATTGCCTTTCAGTAATTTTGGACCTACCCTGTATATACGCCTTCCAATGGCCTATCTGGGACTCAGGAAGTGGTAAATTCTCAAAGTTTATGGTATTCTATTAGGGGTCAGATTCAGACGTGCACAACTTGGGGATGAATCCAGGAGTATATAAACAACTCTATGGGTTTGTTTTCCTGAGCTCCTCTCTTTACAATCTCCAGGGTATTTTCTCCTCCTCTTTGCAGTTCTCTGATTACAGCTTGGGGACTTTATTCACACCATTCTGCAGTGCACTTTTCACAACTGTTTTCACCTCTGCAGCCAAATGTTAAGAGGACATAGAGAGAGGACACAATTCATAGAAGTTTGTCACACCTCTTGGGACCACAGCTCCTTATACCAAAGTGGACAGTTCCTCTTCCTTACAGATGTAGGCTCTTGAGGGACCCTACTGACACTGCATTTTTTGGTGCTACTGCTGCCAACACAAGAGTGCTTCGGGGCTGGGTAGTGAAAGAACATAGAAGGGGAAAATGTGGGAGTGGTAGGAAGCCCCTTTCCCAGACTTCAAGCCTGCACTAGTGGCCTTCTCCTGGACTCTCTGTTGTCACAGCTGTCCACTTGTGGGTTTCAGACTGTACTGAGTCTACATCAGGGGGGATTGGAGGAACAAAAATATAGAACTTTAGTTCCTGTCTTCTCCCATGTGCCTGTTTCTATTTATTTTTCAGAATCCTCACATTGGTTTTTTGTGTGTGTTTTATTGAGTTTGTATAGCCGCAATAAGAGAGAGAGAAAGGGTGGTGTGTATTTACTTCATCTTACCTGGAATTACAACATAGAAATAATAGAGATGTAAAGTATAGGTTTAAAACCCAAAAGAGACCAGAAAAGCTGTGGAAACTTCCTGAGATGTCATACAGGGTCAGTGAGGATTACTGTACCACATGTGTTAAATGTAGGGTGACCATCATCTACACCAGGATGCTTTTTCAGAGTGAAAGAGAACACTATGAAAATTACACTTGGCAAACAGGTGTAAACTAGGAACCAGAACATACGGCCACCTTATTTAGAAGGTGTGGTGGGAAAATAATACTCTTTTCTGATTGTATTCTACTGATTCCAATTGTTTGGTTACAATCAGTCTCCTAAACATATAAATTCTGTTCTGGTTGATTTGCATGTAAAAAATATAAACAAACCTTTGTTCTGAGTGCTAATTTGTCATCTTCAGTATACCTACTATCCCCGAAAGAGCGCATTCTGTAACTATTAGAACTAGATCTCTTTTTGTGTATGTACAAAACTGAAGCTTTGAGGATCTTTCTGGAAAGCTAAGAACAAAACTCTGGACCTCTGGATAGCTCATTTCTAGAAGTATCTATCCTAGAATAAAACAAACCAAAGGAGGTTTCTGAGTCTTGGATCTCAGAGAGTGACTGAGAGGAAAACCAGGCATCCTGGCCATCACCAGAGCACAATGGTACGATGACAGTGTGGGTTCCTTCCTGCTGAGACCCTGCAATGATGCTTCCCACAAGAAACTTCCTCCAGGAATAATTTATACCCTTTAACTCATCTTTAACTTTATTACTGATATTTTCAACAAGGATGTTGTTTGGTGCCAATGCCACAGTGGTTTTTATGATGTGGGTGCCTCTGTGAAGAAAGAGCAGGATAGCATTTCACACAGGCACCAAGGATGGCCAGATGACAATGACTTTTAGCCACTCTCAGCTTGGATCACCTTCAGGCCAGTGGATGTCACACTTTTACATATGTAAAAGTCCATAAGTTGCTTTCCTGTATTGCTTAAATGACGCATTATTCCATTTTTTTCAGGGAAGACGGAGCATGAAAATTTACATCCATATACAACTAGAACGCTATTTCAACTGCAGGTTGAGCTCTCATGGAGAACAAACTCCTGAGGATGCAATCAGCCTTGCCTGTCAGGAACAACTCCTTGGGCCTCCAGTACATCACCCCGTTACTCAGGAAGACTTGCAGGAGACCACTAGGTCAGCAAGCACGCAGGAGTGCCAGCCTCAACAGGCAAATGGCTCAGACTGCAGTCTGTTCGAGCTCCATTCTTGCTGCCTGTTAACAAGTGCACGCACTTATTTCCCAGACGCTTAGCTTGACTGCTGACTCTTGCCTCTACCTTTCTACTTTGCACATAACTCCAAGTCTGTTCTTTGTATTCTTGCTGGCCTAATAATTTTGGCCTTGTTGGTCCCTTTCCAGTGGCCCAGGGTCAGGTTGTATAATTTATGACCTGCACAAAGTGCTCTGGCCAAAGGGACAAGGAGGAACTGAAATTAACCCTACTCTTCTCCCCAAGCCTATGTCCCAGCACAGGCTACGTCAGCCCTAAGGAAGGAGCACTTCCCATAAGGACACGGTCCAGACTAACCACAGCCCTGTGCACTCTGTGTCCCACTACCTTTTATACTTACTGTCTGTGCTCCAGAGTTGAGGGGTCAACACGGAGTAAGAGTTGTCTTGCTTATAGAAAAGCTTTAAGCAAAGTGTAATCACTTGCTTCTAATAAAATAATATTTATTTGATTAAAAGTGTACATAAAGTCATATGTACAATACATAGTAGACGTGACAGTCCATAACCACAAAGCAGAGGTAGCTGTGTCTGCTGATTTTGCCCAGACCGCTAGGAAAATCTCGGGGATGTTGTGTGCTGAATGTGCTCAATGGTTTGGAGAACCCACTCTCCCTCTGTCCAGTCCAGGAAATCAAAGGCTCTAAACCACAGCCTCAGTCTCATTCCAGTGCCTGTCGAGCTGCTCGGGCTGGCAGAAGCATTCATGCTGTGTGTTCTGTCCATCGACACCTCTATGCCAGGGACTGGCAGGGAGGTGGCGCCAGGACCCGTTTCACCAGTCCCCAGGCTGGGAGCTCCTTCCAGTGGTTTCTGTTTTACTGAGTCCTTTTCAGTGAAAAAAAACTTGGGAAAATTCTGAGTTGGTTCCACGTGAATCCTTTAGTTTTTCACAGGCATGTGGTAGCGCATTTGGGTCCAGAACCTGGAATTGGGAGGAACTGATTTTAAGCCTCTCCACGTCCGGTACGAGGGCAACACTGAGGGTTGCGATCCGTTGCCGGACACGGAAAAAAAGACAAAAGACAAAAAAAAAAAATGTACATAAAGTCATATGTACAATACATGGTAGACATGACAGTCCATAAACACAAAGTAGAGGTAGCTCTGTCTGCTGATTTTGCCCAGACCACTAGGAAAATCTCAGGGATGTTGTGTGCTGAATGTGCTCAGTGATTTGGAGAATTCACTCCCCCTCTGTCTAGTCCAGGAAATCAAAGGCTCTAAACCACAGCCTCAGCCTCATCCCAGTGCCTGTCGACCTGCTCGGGCTGGCAGAAGCATTCCTGCTGTGTGTTCTGTCCATCGACACCTCTATCCCAGGGACTGGCGGGGAGGTGGCGCCAGGACCCGATTCACCAGTCCCCAGGCTGGGAGCTCCTCCCAGTGGTTTCTGTTTTACTGAGTCCTTTTCAGTGAAGAAAAACTTGGGAAAATTCTGAGCTGGTTCCACGTGAATCCTTTAGAGTTTTTCACAGGCATGTGGTAGCGCATTTGGGTCCAGAACCTGGAATTGGGAGGAACTGATTTTAAGCCTCTCCACGTGACTGTGGGCAAAACTCTGAGAGCTTTTTTCACAAGATAAGGTAGAGACTCTGGCTCCTGGAAGGAAGAGAACTGAATTAAAATGAGCTTCGGTGTTTGATCACTCAAGGCAAGATTCACTGCTGCTTGTAGTTCAAAGACACTGGGTCCGTTGACATAGTTGGGGCTCAAGATAAATATTCCTCTTCTGCTCTTCTTAATAATGTTCACAATGTCTTCTGCATACACTGGAAATAAAGAATTTAATTGTAATTGATACTGTTAAACCTTGAATCACAATAACCTTGAATCTCTGAGATCCACTCCAAGGTTCCCTGCAATGGATACTCTACATAAGGAGGAAAGGAGACACGGTTTACTCTATCACTTTAATCATGTCAACTCTACCAACAGTTGAAGATACCCTCTAGGGTCTAGTCCCTCTCAATTTTACATTCCTTCCTTTGTGTCGTCTCCCCAAATTGTCAATTCCTCTAGGAGCAAAGCTCATTGAAACTAGGTAGGCTGGATAACAGGGGCTATGGGATTTCTGTCCCAGGCTCCTTTGTGGGAGTATCCAAGGCAGACGATGTCAGCAGGACATATGAGGTCTGGAAGTCTCATAGATGGCCAGGGATGGGCCCAGGCCTGAGGAACCTGCTCGACCCAGGGCAGAGGCTTGTGGAGGACAGAGTCCCAGAAAGCAGGGAGGCCACCTGTTTATAATGACAGAGAAAACCTCCTGACACAGAGTCAGGGAAGACATCTTTGTTCTGGAAGGCCTACGTAAGGCCTGGTATTATTTTCTTTTGAAGATTGATTTTTGCAATGACAAAGTATGTCTCTGAAACACGTGTATGCTCATGAAACCTCCAGAAGATGTATAACTCCCAACAGAAAGACAGTCAGAAAAGACTCAGAGAGAGCTTGCATGTACCTGCCCTCTGTGCTCCATATTTTTTCTTGGCATATAGGACTTACCTCCTCCTGGGGCCACATCTCTTTCAAGCAAACACAAGGTATATCCATATTTGTTTTCCAAAACTTCAGGGAACAGACTCAGGGCCAAGTATTCCTCACTCAGAGATGAAGCGGCCTCATTCTCAAAAGAGCTCCATTTTGCATAGGATACGAAAGCATCGAATTCCTTTTTATCTGAGGAAGAGGAACAATGAAAAAGTAAGCCATTTGTATATATTTTTTAAGATCATGGTACACATGCACGTGCTTAAAACATATAGTAAATGCATAAGAAATAAGATTCAGGAGCCTTTCAAAATTGACTTAAAAAACAAAAAGCAGTGGCTGCCTCCATTTTAAAGTCACACTGAGTGGCATTGATGGTCCGCCCCAAATCGAGTTCTAGTTTATGAAACACTCTTGCATTTGAACTGGAGTTAGATCAAACCGCTGGGTCTTGGGTGATTAAGTCGCAGTCACCAGGAGTTCCTGGAGCTTTCTGTGCATCTGCAGTCTTTGTCTCATTAGCTACACATCAAAGAGGAGTCTGCTCCATCGGAGCATGACACTATCCAGCGAGCAAAGGACTGCTAAGACCCAGCACCTGTGTCCATAGGAGAAAAAACAGTCCCTTAGAGAGCTGACAGCCCATATGCCTATATTTGAATCCCCACATGAAAAATGAAGATAACAACTTTCCAGCAGGCTGTTTTAAGGATTGCATGAGATAATGTACGTGTCTGGCTCGTAGCAGGCACAAGATAAACATCCATTCCCCTCCCTTCTGAATACGAAACTATATTTGTAGACCTTATTTTAGAATATTTTAAAGATCTAACATGCCTCCATTGACTATATTATTACAAATGCACATTGACTACTGGAACATACTAAAGAACTAACTGCAACAAGTAGAAAATCCCAAAAGTTAACTCACAGGGTTTGGAATGGGACACACCCTCCCCAGCACTTCCCACAACCCCTGTCAAATAGAATTGTCACAAAATAGTAAGCAGTAATGCCGATTGCTGATGCTATTCGATGCTCTTTACCGTTGCTCAGCGTGGATCTAAGAAGAGGCCTCAGTGGAGGGAAGTGCCAGCAGCAGAAGAGGAAGGTCCGAGAAGCAATGGAGGAGAAAACCAAAGAGCCAGGGCCCAAAGGGGGCTGATCTCTGAAGTACGCATTGCCCAGGTGGGAAGGAGCGGGCTCCTGGGTGAGCGGCAGGTGAGCGCTGCTGTGCCTTGAAGACTGCAACACACCTTAGCAGCCTCCCTTCCTTTCACACCCATGAGAACCCCCAGCCAACCAGGATCTTTCTATAATCTGGAAACTGAATTTCTTTTGCAATAAAAGTGTGAAATATTAGGTGATTTAGGTCCTCCCACAATTCTAACATTCTAGGTCTTTCTAAAATTTTAAATATTAAGCATTAACTTCAAAGGAATGATTTTGCTGAAAAACATCAGTTTGGCCAGCAGAGGACACTGCATCACTGTGATTGAAAATCGGCTCTGCCTCCCACCCCGCATCCGATTACTACATGGATTAGATAATTTGCTCCATTCAAAAAAGCTAATATTTTTTTTAAATAAATCTCAAAAACACTGTTGGTGTAAGGACTTCTAGTGATGAAATCTCTAGATGATGAGCCTAAAGACAGGTGCGACTGATGGGTTTCTTTACCGGTCTTTTCCCCAGTGATCTGCCAACTCTGCACTGAATTCCCAGCACAAGAAAAGCACTGGAATCTGGAGAGACCTCCCAGTGGATTCTGCTCTTTCCAAGCAACAGAATCATTCACTAAAACTGCAGACATTCTAACCTTAGAGAATTATAGGATTAGAAAAAACAGAAGCAGCTCTTCTAATGAAGCAGAATCAATGAACATTATTATTCTGTCTCATGGGGAAATTGACAGGCATTCCATTAATAGTGGTAGTACTAATATTTTACAGAACTTCCCACCTTGGGGGACATTTCCGTCATTTTAATGCCCCTTATTTTACAGATAAGCTTAATGAGATCTCTTAAACCAGACCACCTGGGTCTGAATCCCAAGCTCTAACACCTTCCAGTGGTTCAATTTTGGATACATGACATCGTATCAGCCTGGCTTATGGGTTCACTGTGACAGTTGAAGTAGCCACCATGCATGACAGGTGCACACTGCAGTCCTTAGGAAGCAGTGACAGCTGGCACATGCTGAGTGCTTACTATGTGTGAGCACCGTTCTAAAGACTCAATGTGTCCTAATTCAGAGTGCCCTCGCGGCATCTTCTGGGGCTGTTACAATCCCATTTTATAGATGAGGAAACTAAGGCACAGAGATGTTATGTCATTTGTCATATTACTTTAGGTTGGTTAGCAGACAGATTATTTTCAAGTCCAACATGCCTCACAATAACATTGTCTACAAGATTTCTGGTAACTGTCAGGCGTTCCCTGATGTGAGGCCACCAGACCTGGAGGAAGGCCTCGACGCCTGCAGGCACGACAACGTTACCCACTTTCCGAGCTCTTCCCTCATGCTCTGCACTGGCTGGCAGCAGGAATCTGAAATCCTTTCCTCAAATAACTCTGAAGAAACAATGTCGATGGCTAGTGATGGCATTTTGTATTGTCCTGTATTATCACTGTCAATGTCAGTTCTGAGAGGAAGTGTCAGCGGGTAGCGTGTTGGGGTGACCTTACCCCCCAGCGTCTCGTCCTTGTTCTGGTAGGTTCGGTACAGCAGCACTATTTCGATCCAGTGCCTGTACAGGAGGGCACTCGCCGCCAGCACGCCCACCAGGGCCATGACGGTGCCAAGCAGGACGTACACGAACAGCACTGGAAAGACACAGCAGCTGTGAGCAAACACAGAGGCCGCACTCCCGAGCCAGGACCACGTGGCGCCAGCACCATGTGCCCCCTGCACCTTCTCCTGCCCTAGCACCTCACCAAAATCACTGCCGCATTTCTCCTGAATCTGGGAACGTCTTGAAATCATGTCTTGAGGGAACTATCTTACAATAAACTCTAGAGAACTTGGGGGAACGGGCAGTTCCTGATCGGGATAGCCTGGGAAACTTATCATAGTCATTTTATTTATTTTTCCCCACATAATCGACTTGCATTCCTCTCATCGTATACTGTAAATTATTTTCATGTATTATCATCCTTACTAAACCTTGAACTTCCTGAGACCGGGAGCCATGTCTGGTTTACCCTTGCACCTGCCACGGGAGGCAGCTAACGTAGGGATCCCCTACAGACCTGTGCTGAGGGAAGTCACCGTACAGGGCACCCCCTGCAGACCAGGAACACACTTTGTCTTGTTTAAGCCTCACACACCTTCGAACCTGCTCCTGCTACAGTCATCTATTAATTAAATGAATGAATGAATGAGTCATATCAACTTCCTCTCCGGGCACCTTCTTTAAGAAATTACCTACAATTTCTACTCCGGCTTTAAGAAAGGTCTGATCTGTGACACACGCATGTCACTCTGAACGCTGAGCAAGACTACGCCTCCATTCTCCAGCCTTCAGACATGAATGCATGATGTGCTCCGGATTCAGAAGCCAGGAAAGGGAGCTGACTCTTGGCACAATGTCTGCACACTGGGCACGCCCTGTAGGTATTTGTAGAATGAATGAACCAGCGAGTGAATGAGGGACAGGCTTTGCCAGCACGGCCCCATGCGCGGAGTCTCAGTAAGAGGATCAGCTCTGCACCACTGATGAGCAGCTGCTAGAACACTCCATGGGTTACCGTAACCACAGACCTAGCACAGCGCCTGACACCTAGAAAATGTTAAATGCTGTCATCGCTGTTACTATTGCTCAGGAAAATTCCTCCCCTCGCGAGTAACAGCAGCTGTGAACTTGCAGGGCAGGTTCCGGGCTCACCTCCCTTCTCGGGCCTCAGCTGGACGGACTGGGTCGTGTTCCCGATGGAGTTCTGGGCAAAGCAGACGAACTTCCTGCGAAGATCACTCTGAGTGACCTCTGTCAACTCTAGGACCCGCTCGATGATTTCATCCTTTAAGGTGGACTTAATCCTAGGAAAGGAGGAGAAATACCACACCCACTCAGTCACGGGCAGTAGCACCTACCGGTGGATCTGGAGCTTGTGCGAGCAGCCAGCGGCCGGGTTCTCAGGGAAGCTGTGGGATCAGCAGCACAGGAAGACACAGAAGAGTGTGAACTGGGTAGAGAGGTCTCGTTCTTCATTAAATTACTGACTCTGCTGAGCATTTACACTAAGATATAATTTACTCTGGCCCTCATCTGACTTTCTTTACTCTGAAAATTCTCCTTGAGAACAGATAATAATAAATACTAATAAAGAAAATGATTACGTCCTGATGAGGACATCTGTGTACCAGGCACGCTGCTGAGCAATGAAAATGGGCTCTCAGATCCCCTCCAGAAGCCCACAGAAGCCCCACAAAGTAATAATGCAAACATCCTGACTTGGCCAAAACCGGACGAGGCACAGAGCGGGCGAGCAGCTCCAGGTCACTCCGCAGGGAGGTGGCTGCCTGGGTCCTGGGCCTAGGCCACTCTGCCCCATCCAGGAAGGTCTGAGTCTCAGTGTTTACTCACGATCCACATTCTCTAAAGTTGCTGATCTACAAACTGTCTTCACTTTAAGAAATCCTATTTATGTGGGTGATGTGTTAGACTGTGTTGCTCTGAGCCTGCAGCACAGGCTCTTCCTCACTGAGTGCCTCCCACCTGCCACACACGGTCCCCACCCCTATGGTGATCTTGCAAAGCGCAGGTAATTATCCATAGATGACGGATGCGTGATGGAGGCGGAAGGGGTTAAATCACATTTCTACTGGATGGAAAACGAAGATTCAGACCCGAGGGCAGGTGACGTCAAAGCACACTCTCTTTGCCACACTCCTCTACTTTGACCTCTAATGCAATGTCAGCTTAAAAGGGGATCCAGTAACTTCCCTGAGCTTAGAAATTCTTGCCAGATCTTATTGTTGTACCAAAATCTGTCCTTTATCTTTTGTAATAAAGAATACTTTTCAAAATGATATTACACTTGTTCATTGAAATATTTTGAAAATAAGAAGAAGGTACTTAATGCATACATCGACTCTTCCTCTGAGCCACATCTTGGAGAAAAGAGCGAATGCGTCCTTGAAGGTGATGGCTGATTGCACATGATCGCATCCGAGCCTTTTGACCCTTCCAGAAACTGGACGCCAGCTTTTCCAGGTATTGGATAGCTCTGAATCTCTAGAGTTACGCTTTCTGTTAGCCAAGATCTCTCACCAGTACACTCTGTCCACTGATCTAGGTTCTGTGCCCCAGAGAGCAACACACTAAGTCTAACTTCTCATAAAACATAGTAGCTCTGATGAGTCTCCTTTTCCAGGTTAAGTTGTTGCAACTCTCCCTCACTTTACATATATATATATATTTTTGTCAGACTCCTTATTATGGCACCATTCTCTCTGGATACTTTCCAGACTGTTAATGACTCTGAAAATTTGGATCCCTGAACTAACCGCACACTCTGAACGGGTGACCCTCGGGGAAACGAGGGGGGGGGGGCAGCATTGTCTCCTGGATATTGGACGTGATACATGATATTTCTACTCAAGGAGCCTGCATCTGTCTGTCTGCTGGGTGGCTTGATTTTTAAAGCAGCCACATCAAACTGTTGCTACCAATTGAGCTTTAAAACAACTTAAATATTTCATTTTATAGCCCTTTCAGGAAATGCACGCAGCCCCCATGTTTAAAATGAACAGACACTTGCATGTCTGTAATGTTAATTTTCACCACTAGCTGGTGCTAGTGGCTACACCATCAACTCAGCGTGTATATTTTAGAGGTTTCTAAAGGTGAAAGCACCTAGTTTGGGTTGCAAAGAATAGAGTCTGCTAGTTTTCTTCTTACCTTTTTCTCTCAGGTGTTGTGGCTTCCCACTCCTGGTCAGAATCTTTGATGTACCATTTTATCACAGGTGTAAAGTCCCTTTGGAAGCCAAATCTTGCTTTACATTTTAGAGTTAAAGGCTTTCCTGAAAGTGAAGAGGCCAGAGAAAACAGGAAGGAAGCACGTAAGAAAGCTTCGTCCTCTGTGGGGGAGGAAGACCTGACCAGAAGACAGTTGCCTGATACAGTCAGGTTTGCAGGTAAAACAGGTGTGCCAGAAATAACCAAATATCTGCAAATTTCTCATTCAGAAGCACATAAAACCAGGTATGTTTGTCTGTAACAGTCAATACTCATATCTCAAACATTTAACTCTGTGTTCTTAAAATGAAGATTAGCATGATCATATCACTACGGGTGCCAATGTGGTTTGAGGGAGATGCCAGAAAAACGAGGAGTTTTGGTGACCAGCCTGGTCTTCAACATCACAATAGACATCAATAAAGAACATTTTTCTAACCAATATTTTCATATTAAATGAAAATCATGAGGTTACTATAGTTTGTAGTTTAACAAAGAAATTAGTCAGATATTCAGCTGTTTTTCTGAACAATGCACTACGGATGAGCATGCATGTTACTAACTACCCTCCTTCCACCTGCCTTCCCCATAATGAATATGCAGATATGCTCGACCTCAGACAATATTCAACCATGAAATGATTAGGGACTCCATTTGAAAACTCATCTTTGCACCTTAATATTTTTCCACCAGTATTAACTTAGAATTCACTATATATCATAAGTAACTTAACTAATTTGAGTTAATTAATGTTTTCCACCATTTTTCCTCCTTTCTTCCATTCTTGTGATGTCACCCATACTGCAATTGCGATTTCTATGATCAGGATATGCTGCTACTGCCACCTGGTGATCATAATGTCTACCTTTATGTTTCGTTGTACAATAATAAATCTTTGATTAGCATTTAAAAGAGCACTTATTTTATTAAGACAACCAGAATATGGTCTTAAACACAGCAATATTCATTTGGCTTTGTGGAAAGACATAGATTAAAATTGACAAAATGAAGGGAGACCACAAGGAAGTCAATTTCCCCTCTACCCAAAAAAGACACTACTTGGGAATAAAAATTGTTTGAGCTGGGGTTGTATTATTCTTTTAAAGGCCAGACCAAACATCATATTCATAAACATTAATGCTATTCAAGTTGGTAAATTTATAGCTGTAACCAAGGACCTAACCAATATACGTAAGCATCTGCTCTTGGTGGGAGGTACGAAGAATCCAAAATCTACCGCCCGTGTCCAGTGCACCAGCCACTTAACATACACTGTCCCTTTATTTCTCGATGCAATCTTGTGAGGTCAGTTTTATGATGCCGAGTTACAGATTTAAAGGCTGAGGCTTACAAGGATTAAGTAACTTGCAAGACCACAAAACTGGTCAGTGACTGAGTCAAGACTGACACCTGTTCTGTCTGACGTGAAAGCTCGATGCACTTTTCTTTTTATCCCTCTTACACCTGTTTCCAGAAGCACAAATTCATTCGAGGGAGATAATACAGCTCAGCTTACCAAGTTCTACTTCCACTGTGTCCTTGATGGGATCCAGAATATCTGGTTTGAGATTAGTGTCATCCACTAAAAGATGAAAACAGAAAACGATCATTTGTGTTGGGAAATCTGAAGGCCTGCTTGCTGAAGATTCGGGGACATGGCCACACTTTGATCTAAATGTTTTGGAGCTCCCTCTTCAAATTTTACCCATAATCCATAAATCTAGGAACTCAGGTTTGTGTGTGAAAAGCTTCCTCTCCCAAATAACTGTGGCATCAGGTTGGTGGTGCTCACAAAACATTAGTCCTTGATTCATCCCTACCTGCCAGTGTGCATTTTCCTCCACACCAGTCCTGCTCACTCACTGTGGACTGGAGCCCCCATCCCTGTCTCTCTCAAAAGATTTCTGTTTGCTGCCATCTGAATGAGCAACTCAATGGTGGAAAAACCCACCCACGAAACTGTACCAGTCAAGGAGATCTGAGTTCACCCTTTCCATCCTTAAAGTCATGGTTTGTTTCAAAAGGAAGCAGAATACAATCCTTAATAAATCATTTTATCCTTCAGCCTCCTGCCACAAACTTTCAATATGCCTCCACTGTCACACTGTCCCACCTCCTAATAGAGGGAGATTCACGGCCTTCGCTCTCAGGGACGTGCACACTTCCTTCCCAGGGACCACCTGCCCTCACGGACACCGATGCCCTCCTGCCTCTTCAATCTCTCTCAATCTCTCCCTCTCTCTCTCTCCCTCCTTCTCTCTTTTTCTCTCTCTCCCTCCCTCCTTCTCTCTCTCTCTCCCTCCTTCTCTCTCTCTCTCTCTCTTCCTTCTCTCTCTCTCTCTCTCTGTTTCTTCCCACTAGCATTTATTCATGCTCAGTCTCTCCATCTTACAAAAGAGGGAAAAGCCCTGCACCTAACACCCCTGCCTCACTCACCTCCCTCCTTCCCAGCCGCATTCTTGGAAGAGTCCCATGTGCTCATTCCCTCCATCCACCCACTTCCCGTGGAGTCTGGAGTCTGGTTTCTGCCCCCATCGCTCCTCTGAGACTGCTGTGGCCACAGTCACCAGTGACACCCTTGCATCTAAATCCGCTGGGCATGGAATTTTCAACCTGCTTTACGTCTGGGGCCACCCCTCTTTGAAACCCTCTCTTCCTTTGCTTCTAAGTTCCTGTGCTCTCTGCTCACCGTCAACCTCCGCATTTGCTTCTCTGTGTCCTTGTGGGAGCCCCTTCCTCTGCGCTGCTCTTGACCATCCGTCCCCTTCCCAGGTCTCTCCTAGTGTCCTTCCACCCACCTGCTCTCCCTGCGTAGCACAGTTCACTGTCTAGGCCCTTCCCTATGAAAGGACTCAGACCCCGAGCTAGCTCTCTCCTCCATCGGCAGCTTCACCTCCTCTGCTGCTCCCCTGCCCACGCTTCCACGGATGCCTACCCTCCCACGGATGCCCACCCTTCCATGGATTCCCACGCTTCCACAGATGCCCATGCGTCCACGGATGTCCACCCTTCCACGGATGCCCACGCTTCCACGGATGCCCACCCTTCCACGGATGCCCACCCTTCCATGGGTGCCCATGCTTCCACAGATGCCCATGCATCCACGGATGCCCACGCTTCCATGGATGCCCACGTGTCCACGGATGCCCATGCGTCCACGGATGCCCACTTGCCAATGTGAGTTCTCACACTCCTGCTCCATCTTCTCTGGGTGTCTTCCTCCTGGTCTGCAGCTCCTCAAGGGCAGGAATACTCCGGGGCTCAGTTCTGGGCTCTGCTCCCTATGGACCCACCCCTGGGTGGCATCACTCAGTTCCTTGGCTTTAGATGTCATGCAAAGTTGACCATCCTCACGTTCACACCTCCAGCCCTAACTTCTCCAGGCTGCTTCATCTAAATGCCCACTTGTCCTCATGACCTGGATGAGTAAAAGTCCTTTCAAGCCTCATACTTAATTTCCTCCTCAGGCCTTGTTCTTCTCCCGTCTTTCCAGCCCCATTAAGTGGTGCTGCCATTTACCAACGAATCTGAACAGAAAACAGAAACATCTTTGATTTCTCTCTTTCTTCTGTCTTCTACCTGAAATCCATCATCGTGTTCTGTTGACTCACAAATCCCGCCACTTGTCACCACCTGTGCTAAGTCTATGTGCGGAGCAACCAGAAGCATCTTCCCAGACCCTGCTGCCCCCATCCCCTTCTGACAAACTCTATCGCATGTTAGGGCAAGCCCACCTACGTGCCAGCTCCAGACCTGGCTCTCACACCTGGCTCCCCCTTTCCTCTTCCCCATTCCCAGTCACCAAGTCCTTTCAGTCCACCCACGTCTCTCCACCCCCTCTGCCACTCCCTAGTTCGGGTCCCCATGAGCAATCGTCTGCTTGACCTCAGCAGCCTCCTAACTCTTGTCCCTGCTTCTGTTCTTACTCTCCAAAATTCATTTTCTACGCAGTAGACAGAGCCATCTATCTCTAATGCAAATCCAGTCATGACACCCTCCCGCTGAAAACCCTCAACGGCTCCCCATTGTTTCGTGAATAAAGCTCCAGACAGTTCTAGTCAAACTGAAGAGAACACATGGTCCAAACGATGTCGGCTCGGCTTCCAGACCCACACCCTCAAGCGACCCTTTTCTTCCTAGAATGCAACGAGCTCCCTTCCCTCCCTGGGCATCCGCTGTGCTGCCCCCACTGCTGGAATGTCACCTGCCCACCTGCCCTGGGCTCGTCTGTCCTGTTGCCTCGTTCTCACCTGGACTTGGCTTCCTGGGGTTTGGGTCTGCTGTGCCTCCCACACGCCCACCGCGCCTCCTTGCTTCCTATGTCTGCCACGTAAGATGGTGAGTTCTCAGAGCCCAGATGAACAGTCTAGGTCCTTGTTCTTACACCCTTAGCTCCCAGCCTGCCACGTATTAGATGCTCGGTACGTAGTTGTGTGAGGAAGAATAAAGGCAAGAATGAATGAGCAAGTGAGAACGATGGGGATAAAGAAAGAGAAGGCTCGAGTTAAACTGCTGCAGGAGATGCTGTAAGGTGTCCCCTGGGAGAGAGAAAAGCAGATCGTGACACTGAGAGTTTGCATTACTTGGAGGGGAAGGTGGTGCAAGTGGAGCTGTCACGTGCTCACTTCTCTTCCCAGGGACAGTATAGCATAAATGGAGCCCTGAGAGCTGCACAGGCGGGAGCGTTCAACTTGCTCTTAGGGTGCTCCGTGTGGCTTGCATCTTGCAATAAAAGAACAGGAGGTAAAATCAATTAATATCTTTACCAGGAGCTAAGTCAACCACTCGAGCTCTTCAGTGCAGAACATGAACGACTGGCTCTGCTCTGTTTTGACTCCACAGGCCACGCTTAAATCAATTACCTCGCATAGTTTATTCATGCTGAGACTTGCAGATCTTGTAAGAATGACCCAAGGGAGAGGATGGGACAAAAATAGACGAGTCACAGAAGAAGAAATCCAGTGGGCCAGTAAACAGATGACAAGACGCTCAACCTCATGGGTCATCAGAGGAGTGTAAATTGGGAGGAAGCGAAAAAAGAAACCCCACTTGACAACAATCGACAAGTCTGATAACAGCAAATATCATTTGGGAATAACGGGAGTCTGTTCATTGTTGATGGGGCGTATATCAGCAAAACAATACTTTAGCAGAAAACCAGGTGTTGATGGCACGAAACACATTTTATGGCACAAAATTATATCCTATTTGAGTAATGGATACACACATGTAGAAAAAAGCATAAAAACAAAAAAATAAAGGATATAAACTATGATACCGAGACAACGCTGGAGCAGAAAGAGCATGAGAAGAAATGGAGGCACAGACCTCAAGCTGTATCTGCAACGTTCTGGTTTTTTTAAAGGAAAAACAAGATTTTAAGCATGTGGAAAAACGTTAACACTTGTTAAAGCTGGTGATAGGTATATGGATGTCACTTAATATTTCTGTGTGTGAACGATTTAATAATATTTTTTTTCCTTTTTTGTCTTTTTTCGTGTCCGGCAACGGACCGCAACCCTCAGTGTCACGCCCGTACCGGACCGGGACCAGCAACGGGATCGCAGCCCTCAGTGTCACGCCCGTACCGGACCGGGACCGGCAACGGGATTGCAACCCTCGGTGTTGCGCCCGCACCTCGCTCAGCCAGTGAGCGGGAACCGGTCTGTATGTGGGATCCGAACCCTCGGCGGGAGCGCTGCCACGCTTCCCAAGCGGCGCACTGTAGCAGTGCACCACCGGGCCGGCCCTAATTTTTATACTTATAGTAAAAGCACACCACGGACAGTGCAGGATAACCCCTCTTGTGACAACTTGAACATGCCAGAGCTAAGCTTCCCTTTGGCGGAGAGGGGAGACCAGTGCTAATAGGGAAATAGTTGTTTGCTCACATTCAAGTTTCACACGGCTACAAGTGTATGACTATCCTTTTTTTCCCCTGAAAGGAAAAAAATTACACCAACCAAAATGTCCATCGATGGATAACTGGATAAGGAAACTGTGGTATATATACACCATGGAACACTACTCTGCCATAAAAAAGAATGAAATACTCCTATTTGCATCAACATGGATGAGCCTGGAGAAACTGATGTTGAGTGAAATAAGCAAAGCACAGAGGGATAAATACCACATGTGCTCACTCATGTGTGGGAGCTAAGAGAGAAAGAAGGAAGGAAAGAAAGACCACAGCAGTGCAGTGGACTTGCAGAGGGAGAGAACAGTCCTTGAGCTACAAAGTGGAGTTGGGGGGGATGTAGGAGGGGGAGGGAGTTTGGGGATAATTGGGTGAGGGACACAGGGTACAAATGCAATTTGTGGTAATGGGTATGCTGCCCATATGAACTTGGCCGTCACATCATGGGCAGGAGGGGAGACACTTTTCTTTGTATGTCATGAATATTCATAACCAATAAAAAATAAATAAATTACTAAGCCAAAGGAAGGTAATTTTAATTGGCCGATTGGGGCTCAGATCTCAAACCCTGAGACAAAAATCTCACTTACCAACGGTTTTCACTTGAACAACAGCTCTGACTATCCACGAACTCACTTTATCCGACTGAGTGTAATCACACACGTATGTGCCCTGGTGATAGTCATAGACTTCGCCCACTAGGATTCGGCGGCTCCTGTTCTTAGAGAGGAATTTTCCATTCTAGCCAAAAGATAAAAAAATTAAATAACTTTCTTTAATCACAGAATTTTTATTAATATTAATCACACCTATAGAAAAATTTCACAAAATTGAACTGAGGAGGAGGAAGGCCAGTCTGAGATAAAGGCATCCCACAAGCTATGAGGACATTGTTTTCAAAAATTAAATTGTAAGATTCTTATTTGATACACGAGACATTTTCTAATACAATTACATTATGTGTGGAGATGACGGAGCCTGATCAGCCCACAAAGAACTATTGAACCTAGTGTTTCCCAGACCATGATTCAGGCCCCCAAGAGTATTCTAGAAAACTCATAGTGTTCTAAGGACTGATACTGAAATTAATTTTTAAAAATACACATATATGTGCGTATACACACGCTCACATATATATATGTGTGTGTATATATACGCTGGTGTATATATATTTATGTGTACCTATGTATATATTTCTGAAATTGACAGATTTTCCATGCATGAGGGTAATATATAATGTTATTAATAATAAAGAAACAGGTGTCCATAAATGTTACAAAGAATGACTGAAGACTGAGAAACAATTACTTAACTCATAGTGAACCCACAGTCAAGTAAGAGCTAAAAGGCAATGATCCGTCTGTCCCTCACTGACTTGGCATCTATTGGCGACTCCCTCTGTCTTTAGAATAAAGTCCAAAATTCTTCACAGTCTGATCTCAGTCTCGCTTCTTGCTGCTGCCCCTAAATAACCATGTTCTTTCCTGGCACCTGCATTTGCAAGTCTCCCACCCCTGTGCAGGCTGCTGCTCAACCTCCACCTCCGACTCAGGAGGTGGCTCCTATAGAGACAGTCATCACACGCTCCCCAGCAGACCCAGTCCCTCCGTGTACTCCACACATGATTGCGCATAGCTCGTTTGTAGTAATTACGTGTTTAGGTATCTCTAGTTCTTAAGAGCAGCCTTTGTGCCAGGACATATATCTGGTCCTGGACACACTGAGAACAATGAACATAGATCCTCTTTCCTCAGTCCAAGAAGGCAGACCCTGAGTAGGAAGCTATTCTAGGGCACCATTCACAGAGTGCCAGGGAGCACTCCGGCGGCCCTGCTCCGCTCACGGTCCCTCACACGGTGCAGGGACGCTCCCTCAAGTCTAATCAGAGCCTTGGAGGATATGTAGAAATCAGTCAATTGAAGGTAAGTGCCACTTTCGGAGCATTCGAAGCAAAGTGTGTACACAGAAAATAAGGCCGAGGAGAAAGGCTGATGAACACAGACGTGCTTGAATGTTATGTCTCCAGTACACAGCGAGTGGGACAGCAATGGGAGGCTCTTTGGAAAGGATGTGTGAATAAATGGACGTACAAGTGAAGAAGAAGGCTTTCAAGAAGGATGGGCCGGCCCGGTGGCGCACTGGATAGTGCGCCGCTTGGGAAGCGTGGTGGCGCTCCCGCCCGAGGGTTCGGATCCCACATACAGACCAGTTCCCGCTCACTGGCTGAGCAAGGCGCGGGGGCAACACCGAGGGTTGCGATCCCGTTGCCGGTCCTCGGTCCGGTACGGGGGCGACACTGAGGGTTGCGATCCGTTGCCGGACACGGAAAAAGACAAAAGACAAAAAAAAAAAAAAAAGAAGGAGAATCACATGATCAGACACTTCTAGAAAAATGACTGGCAGCTGGGTATGGAAGCTCATGTGAGTTTAGGCAAAGACTGTCATAATCCCCTGTATATCACCAGGGTCTGGGGCATTGCAGGGACTCAAGAAATGTTTGTTGAATGATTGTCACTGCCCCTAGCCTCCATGTATAACCGTGTTTCTATGGCACGTGGCCTTCCAGTTTCCAACTGAGAGTACCAGGAGCATATCTCTTACCACCGTAATTAAAAGAAAAGAGATAAACAGCAAAAATAATAAAACAATAAGGATCTGTTGTCGATATAGATTACAAAATTCTTTCTCTTGTACTATCACATATCCTCATCCAAAGGATTACCTGACTTTGTGTAGATTTTATTTGTTCTGTTTTACAAATGACATACCAGACAGAGGTCAGAGTTTAGGTAAGTTGAGAACACTGAGAACCAACCTAAATTTTTCTGACTCTGAGTTTCATGTTCTGAGTGAGGAATTTCCCTTCCACTTTGCCTGCTGACTGGTAGAAGCAGGGATTCCCCCAGTCCAAGCCTCTGGTGGGGTCTCTGTGGTCCAAGAAGGAATTTCCAGCAGGTTAACAAGGAGGATAAGAGGAGGGCCAGACTGGTCAGAGGGGGCAGCTGCAGGTGGGACGTAAACAAGACAAAGTGGTGACCTGATGCATATCAGGTGATCCCAAAGATCAGAAACCTTTCAAAAGGAAGTTTAAGAGCAAGGGGGAGATTCAGAGATAAAACGTTAGAGAACACAGTAATACCACACAGAGATCAAAATTCAGAGCAGAGCTGTGTAGTAAATCACATCAGAGAGCTGGAGAGAAAATGAAGAGCTGTCACGAAGATCTCAGCTGAGCCACTGGGGAGGGCGGGTAACACCAAAGTAGACCTGATTTCCTATTACACAAAAAGGTAACTATGGCTTAGTATGCATCATTAAGACTTTGTGAGATGGAACTCAAAGGAAACATCAAAGAAAAAAAATTAGGGAGAAATAATTTATGCCCAAGAATGATAGGAAACTAATATATTTACAAATGATTCCAGAAGGAAAGAGAGAAGCTAAATTAGCTGCACAGGGAACTCTTTGTTTTGCTCAGATGTGACACAGTCATGAACAAAACACAGAAGAGAGAATACCCACCAGTGTGAGTCTGTGTGAATAGTGTCAGTAAGTCCTAAAAAGAACGGAGGCGTGCAAAAAAAAGTTGGAGACACTAAAAAGCACCTTGAAAGGTACGTATGAAGAAAGGAGAAGAGCAAAGTTATTCTTACCACTAAGGCCTGTTGTTATATTATACGGTATTGTAATATCATCAAGCTCTTGTACTAACAGACGGTAGAGCTACTCATGAAAGCACCATGCACACTGTATTATTCTATGGGGACAGTGCTCCCCGGGATTGGGCAACACAGTGGGGCTCCTGTGCCCAGTCTGGCACCAGATTCCCACTGCCTAGTCTAGGAGGACTACCAGGATCTATATTTCTTTTTCTTTTTTTTTCCTTTTTGTCTCTTTTTTCGTGTCTGGCAACAGATCGCAACCCTCAGTGTCGCGCCCGTACCGGACCAGGACTGGCAACGGGATTGCAACCCTCGGTGTTGCTCCCACACCTCACTCAGCCAGTGAGCGGGAACCGGTCTGTATGTGGGATCCGAACCCTCAGCGGGAGCGCCACCGCGCCCCCAAGCGGCGCACTGTAGCAGTGCACCACCGGGCCAGCCCAGGATCTACACTTCTATTCCTGTCCTCCCTGATGAACTTCAGATTTTCATGTCCATTTTAAAGTTCCCTACCTCGGACTCATTGTTTCAGATGTGTATACATCACCTCTCTTCCACCCCTAATCGAATTAACTTCTACTTCCTCCAACTTGGTGAATGCTGTGAATATATTTTGAGCCAGAGACACTCAAAATATTATAATCATCTCTTGAACACTTCCCAGTCTAAGTATTTAATTTTTTTATTCCATAAAAATATCATTGTCTGCTTCCACCACGCTGAGCTGCTCACCATTCACTGAATATCTCCTTTGTTTTTCCATTTCTGTTGCACAATGTTGCTCTTTGTGATAAGTATAGCTGCACAATCCCAATCATCAACTAACAACATTCTACTTATATATAAATTCTATACCAATCTTGTAATGGGAAAAGGGTACATCATGGAAATTATCGATGATGGGCTTGATGTCAAGCCTTAGCTAAAGTCCTGAGTGAATTATTAAACAGATGGTTTCTGGTCCTTTAGTAAAGGAAGTGATCACTGAGAGCAGCCAGCTTGCATTCACTGACAACAATTATACCAAAGTCATCTCAATTTCCTCCATGAGTGAATGCTTAGCTCAGAGGCTGAGGAGTAAAGCAAGCACATTGCATCTTCACTGTAGTGAATAATTGCAAAGTACTTTCACAATCTCCCTGTTAAAAAAAGATACATGTGGGCTGAGTGATAGGAAATTTTGGTGCCTTTTTAGCTAATTGAGCAGCAATACCCCAAGTGGTGGATTAATGGACCATATGTAACTAGAAGGATCACTCTGGAGTCCACAGCTGAGAACTCTGTCCTCGGTGCTATTCTGTTTAGTATTTTTGTTAGGAGCTTCAGTGAGCACATATCATGTATGCTGATCTCATCTACAAGCCTCACAAATCTGGAGGAGATGGCTAATATGTTATATTTCAAAATCAGAATTCCAATTTCTTGACACATGGAATGATGAGCTAAAACCAACAAATTAGAATTTAACAGAAATAAATGTAAAATCATAAACATGGGTTACAATTTCTAACACGAAATAGAGAGAGTGCTCATAGAACTGTTTGATTGCAGTTCTTGTGAAAAAGACCTGTCTGCCAACTAAGAAAGAATCAACCTTACAGTGGAGCATCCCAAAGCTAAGACAATTGTATGCTGAATCAATATTCTGTTCACAACAGGAAGAAAACAGTTCTACCATTTTCAGCATTGGTTAGACAGCAGGTGGATTATTGCATTGAACAGGTGTTAGGAAGCTGTCCAGGATTATGGGAGGTCTGAAATATTCACAAAGACAACAATGGAATGGGCCATTGTATTGATCTTGGAAGCAGTTTTCCAAAATATAATCAAAATTGTCTTTACTTCTTTCCTAGTTAGAAACATATTAACCTTTGGGTAGAGCCACCTTCCCCATGCTCACCAGTTCTCTATGGCACTTGGCTCACAGAATGCCAATTGCTACAAGAATTAGAACAAAAGGAAATAAGAAGTGGTGTCAGGTCTATGTGCAAAAATTCCATGGAACACGGGCCTCAGAAATGACCCAGAAGCCACATCAGCATTGTGACAAGCAAATGTGGCATATGAGTGAGTTGTCTT